CCACGGAGGGTCAGGTGGTTTCCTTTGGTTCAAGGCAGGATGGTGAGGTAGGTGATGCTCAGGTGATCAGGAGAGAACAACACTGAGGTCAGAGAGAGTCCAGGGTTGACCTTCTGAGGCTCATGGGTATTGATATTACCAGGAGGTTTCACAAGAATGAAGGCTGAGAGGAAGTAGGTGATTGTGCCAAGGCACCATCGTGTTCATAGGCTAGGGTCACCAAGGAATTGGTACACACCCCATAAGTGGGGCGGCTAGGGCAGTGGGGCCCTAGGACCTGGACATCATAAACCCTGACTTCAGCTGACAGTGTGCAACAAGGTCTCAGGGGGACCATCTAGCTGCGTGGAGCTGGGCACTAGCACCGCCCTCACTTTTGGCCCTAGTGCAGGTCTAGAGGCCTGCAAAGGAAATGCATCTCTGAGTCCTTTTTGGTGACTTCTGAGACCTGAGCCTTTGTCCACTGCTGCTATGGTTCTGAGGGCGGGACTGAGGAAGAGGAGGTGCCTGAGTTGTTTTGAGGGGTCTCTTGGGCTTATCCCTGCTTTTAAAAAAAAAAATTTTTTTTCTTTCTTTTTTAAAAATATTTTTTGTTCATTATTATTATTTCTTTCTATAGATTATTAGCTAGTGTGGGAGGGAGAGACAGAGAGAAACATTGACGTGATAGAGCCACATTGATTGGTTGCCTCTTGCACCATCTGACCAGGGCCAGGGATAAACCTGAAGGGGGGTAAGTGCTCTTGATGGGAATTGAACCCAGGATTCATTGATCTGTGGGTGATGCTCTAACCGCTGAGCCAAGCCAGCCATCATACTTGATTGTTTTTTAGCATAACTCCTATTAGTTATGGTGTTCTAAGTAATAGTCTGTCAGGTTTCTTTTATATTTATTAGAAAACTAGAATTTTCTGGGAAGAATAATGGCACAGTTTCTCTGGGCAGCAGGGGGCAGTGTGGAGATAAGAAACATTTTCTTCCCCTCCTTTCCTGTTTGAAAAAAATGTCTAGACCCATTTCTGGAAGAATTGGCCTAGGGTTTCTGTAAGGGAGCTGGCTGTTTCCTACCAGGGATAAACTGTTCCCCTGCAGAGTTTACTGAAAACTGGGTGCCTTGTGTGTGTAGCATCATGTATTTATGATTTTCTGAATGGGCTTCCCACTGACTTTTATAAAGTATATGTTTCAGTTACCTGTGTCACTCAGACCTCCAAGTAGGAAATATGGAGGACTGATAAAATATAATGAAGTAATCCAAACTACTTTTATCACTTACCAATGACCATTAATAATTTGATACCTCTTTTTTTTAAAAATCTCACCCGAAGATACATTTTTTTGCATTTATCCTCAGAGCGGGAGGAAGAGAGGGGGGAAGAGAGAGAGAGAGAGAAATATCGATGCAAGTGAGACACATGGAGTGGACAAACTGCAAATGAGGTCCTTGCCCTTAACTGGAACTGAATCCAGGACTCTCTGGTCTGCAGGGAAAAGCTCTAAAGGCTGAGCCAAACCAGACAGGGCGTGATACATTTCTTTAGAGGTCTTCCCATCTATAAAAGTGCATTGCACACAGAATGAGATTCATATTGTATTGTGACTTCAACATCGTTCATTAAACTCAGGTTTTTAGCATGAGTGATCTGTTCTAAAAATCATTTGAAAGGACCTGAAGAATTTTACTCATTTCTGTTGTTAATAGTCTATGTAGTCTTAAACAGTGAAAATGCAATATTTGATGAATCAGAAAGAAACCGGAAGTAATCTGTGACTCCTAAGTCAAAGGGAAATACCATACTGTAACTTTCCTAAGGACTGGAGCTATATTTTCTGCTTTGTTTTTGTTTAACATTGTATTTTCAATATAGAAAATCCACTTGTCTTATCTGTCCTCCAGCATCCTGACTTGACTTCCCCCATGGGGAGGGCAAATTGCTCCCTTGCTACTGTCCAGTGCGCCTGGGAATTTATAAAACCTACTGAAAGTATTCATATATTTGGTTATTTTTCCCTCAGGGTATAAAACAAATTCTTCTGATTATAGTCATTTGGGAAGACAGAAACCCGCAAGAAAACAAGTGTAATCACCCATGGCCCAAACACTTTCAACATGATTTGCAGATCACCTTCATTTTTACATTCTTGTGATAATTCTATGTAGAATATAGAATTGTGAAGTTTTTATGGTTGATATTAGGTAATTCATATATATTTTTTCAAATTCAACTTAGCCTGTACTGAATGTATCTGCTGCTACTCCTACATGATTTTTGAAATATAAAAAATAATGGTATGACAAACTTTTTGAAGAAATCTATGCTCAGATTTTAGACAATTTGCCTTGCACGGAATCCTACCAGTTCACCTATCCTACCACATTCCTTTAACCAGGAACATAAGCCAGGGCCTGCTCTGTTGAATCCTGTGAATACTGAGGATTCACTCTGATACTTTGCTATGTTCAGAAGTGAAATATATGTTGTATTGTTTTAAAAAATTTTTAATGTTTGTGAGATTCAATATCCTTTCAGATATTTAATACCATATATTCATTATGGGTACTTTATGTAAAATAATTGATGAAAATTCATATAAAAAGATTTAATAAATTTTTAAATTAGTAGTTAAGAAAATAAGAAAAAAAGAAGAAAGAATTAAAAACAAAATGAAAATGAAAACAGGAAAAAATGATTCTAGACATAAGTCAAATTAATTCACTAAGTGATTTCTAATGTGCCTTTTTCCTTTTCACTTTGACAAGATTGCTCCTCATCTGGGCCACCCACTCACATCTACTCAGGCCCTGCAGCTGTGTCCTGTTCAGATAGACCATCCCAGCTCTGATCACAGACAGAAGACCAGAGAACAGACTGCTCCTTCAACTCTCTACACACGCCTTCTTGATTCAATTCCCGAAGTTTGTACTTCCCTGGGCCTCCTCTCTGAAAAGAGCTGGCTGATAATGAAAGGACTTTATCTTGGCCAGAAGGTTCATCTTGTCTAAGAGCACATAGTGATAAATAGTTACACCAGACCCTAGTTTTCCTTGCTTTAAGCCCTATCTTATACATTTTTTCCCACTTGTTTTCCATTATGCACCTTTTTGGTTAATTCCTATTATCCTCAAAGTGTAAAAATCAACAAGGCCTACAGAAACAGCTTTGAAAGAACTCCTCTGACGGCTACTGGAATGCGACTGATTCAAGGACCCAAGAGGCATGAAGCTGAATCAATTCCCAGGCAATCCAACGACACACTGTGACAGCTAAAGGAAACGGAACCCTGAGGAATACCACAGTCATGGCCCTGTCTTCTCCGTTCCCTGTACAACATCAAGTTGGCTATAGCTCAGAGTTATCTGGTCTTAAGGAGAGAAACATCAGCTGAATGAAGCCAGTAACCTCTATCTGAGTCGGTCTTACTAGATTTTTCTCATGTTCCACCACTATTTTCACCCAAATTTTCCAGCATGCAAAGAAAGGGTTCTACAGGTCCATTTGCACGAATTACAGTCACTACTGGTGGATACAAACATTTCAAGACAAGCACCAGTGTTCCTGACAATGAGATTCCAGGGAAACTTCTCCCCAGAAACATCATAGGGTTCATGTCATAAAAACACCCGTAACAGTGATCTCTCTAATAGCAATTTCCCTTCTCATTTGTTAATGAGATAATTCTACTAACCTATAGATAAGGTATCTGTGAGGGTTGGCACCACACTGCATGCAAAGGAGTCAGTGGAGTGCCTGACACAGTTCATACTGAATACATCTCAGCCACATGAGTCTCCAGCAGCTAAGACCACAAGTTGGGGAATGAAAATTTTAAGGGACTAAAGAATTTCCCTACATCCTTAGATTACAAAGGGATTCTGTACCAAAATAATACAACCAAATATGCTATTAGTTAACCAAAATAGGACAAAGTATGACTTGCCATTTGGAAAATATATTTCGTGAAAAACTCAGGAAGCTAAAAAAATGACTCAAATTTCTAGAGTTTTGTTTTCAGGGATGCTGCAGTCCAGTCATTTATATAACTCAGGGCATAATCTAGTCTTTTGAACAAGGGAGCAAAAATACATTGGCTTTAAAAAAGATACATGTTTCTCTTTCAAGTACTGTTTTCATTACCACAAGGGTGGGTATAGTAACTTCATAGCTATGGGCACCTAAGCTTAGAGCTTATTTTTAGTGTCTGCTACTCCTGAGGATGGCCCAGTCTATTCATTTGTATAATCCCATTCCTCTCCGTTCTCCCTTTCACGTCTGCAGAACTGAGCACAGAGGACATCTTAGAGATCATGTAGACAGGGGATATGGAACTCTTTGTCTAAGTAAAATCAAAGATTCCTAGAATGAATTCCAATACATACATACAAAAAAAAAGAGGCGTTTCTCTACTGGGAGCAGGGTCTGTCCCAGCACATCCTTTCCTCGGTGAGGCTCCTGTTCAACCAAGTACTTAACGAAACCCTCTTGTTAAAACTGAGAAAATTGTAGGCCCAGACAGGAAAGAAACTTTGCAAAAAACAGGAAGGCTCCTAGAGCTGGAACTGGGAGGGAGTTCTCTGGAGCCCAGGCCCAAGGCCCTCCAGGAGGAAAATACTAGGGAAAAACTGCATGTCCCATCAAAGGATAGTAAAGAAGTTGTCAGTATAAATGAGTTCAGATTATTTGTGTACACTACTGTTTAAAAGGAAACTTTTTGGGAATAAACCTGGGAAATTTTTCAGCTATGTGAGGCCTGACATAGCAGCGTCAGAAGTAGTAGCGGGACCTGGGGAGAGAAAGGCCCTTCCAGTCAGACCAGGCTTCCTTCATACACACCACTCACTGTCAGAGGACCTTGTTCCCAATTCCAATAGCATGATGGTTTCTGGGCCCCTTTGTCCATGTTCAGTGTATTCTTCTATATGCACCCTGCCCCTCACTATAAGACCCATATCAACCATCCAACTAGGGTGACTGCAGTTTTTAACCACTGGACCAAATCACCTTAGGATGCATTGCAGAATCAAAGTTCTGTGAAGCGTATATGGTGCAGGCAGGGTCCTTCTGGAAAGAATTCAATATATCGGTAGCTTATCAAAACAGGGAGCAACAATGAAAGATGTAGGAAGGCCATTCCAGAAAAAGTAAAAAACAGACCAAAAAAGTAAATGGTGAGAACATTTCACAATATTTCCTGAGCACCTGCTAAGTGCTAAGCTCTCCTCTTGGTGCTTAGGTTAGAGTGCAGCAGACATGCACTGCAGCTCCTGCCCTCACAACTGGGACTGTACTGCTATCTTGGGATCATATGTCATTGCATCTTCAATTTACCATTAAAGAAACTCTGAACTGTTTGCAATATGTCTGTATTATTTCTCATGAAGATAGCTAAAAATATAAAAACCAGTTTCATATATGTTTAACTGAGTTTTAAAAGAGGAAGGTGAACTCATGATGCAAAAATGAATCGTAGCATATGTAAAATTAATTTTTCTGATAAAAATCTCCAGGAAATTGATATAAAAATACAGTTTTTAAAAGCATTTTTTTTCTTTATTGACTTTAGTGAGAGAGGAAGGGAGAGAGAGAAACATCCATGTGAGAACATGGATTGGCAGCCTCCTGCATGCTCCCCACTGGGGATCAGGCCCACAACTTCGGCATGTGCCCTGACTGAGAATCAAACTGGCCACCTCTTGGTACATGGGTTTGTGCTCAACCACTGAGCAACACTGGCCGGCCTCAAAATACTCTTAATGGTCAATATTGGGTGATGGGAGTGTAGTTTGAATTACTTTATTTTTCCTACACGTTTTCTAGTGAGGTTTGCATGGCTCTCATATTGAAAAAGAACCCTAAAACCCAAGAGGATTTTGGGAAAGCAATGACTCTCACCTTCGGAGCAGCATAAATATAAGCTGCTTAGCAACCTAGTGAGGATTTGAGAAGGGAGTCCATTTGAAGAGCAAATTGATTTTGTTCGCAGAAGGAAACCGTTCACCAAGACACTGAAGGAGCACCTGGTCCACCGGAGCCGCCTGGGCTGCTCAGCTGTGGAAAGAATAGGTTAGCGGTTGTGTAAAGTGCCGCGAAGGCTGATTCTTTTCCTTTGCTCCACGGTGTTTTTCAAGAAGGAAAGGCGGGGGCAGGAGGTCCGACGCGTACACTGCACGGCACTGCCCTCTGCAGGCCACGAAAACCGAGGTCCCAATCACGGAAGAAAACCTGTCTTTCCCACTACTTTCCTGTGGAGCAAGGGAGATCACAGCCCTGGAAGGTTCAGTCGATGAAGGTGAGAATCAGATAATGGAGGACAAGGAAAGACTCCGGAGAAGAGCCGGGAAGGCGGCATCTTCACTACCGGCCTCGGAACCAGATAGACGGCGACGCGAGGTACCGGCGCACAGCAATGACGCAAGAGGGGGCCGGGTCTGCGCTCAGGCTGCCGGGTTCTGAGCATGCGCGTTGGAACGCAGTGAGGGATCTGCCAGTTTTCCAGCCAGTGGCTACTGGAGGTTTAGCTCGGATCCTGCTGCAAACTATCAGCTGAGGGACTGGACAGGTGTTTTGCAGGTCCTGTTGCCCGAAGACTCTAGCTGCTTTTCTGCACCAACAGTAGGGCATGTACCAATCCCCTGGTCGTCAGCCTCCTGCCTATCCCTGCTTGTGAACTCACTGGTCTCCTTACAGCCTCACAGTCCTGCTCTCAGCCCTCACTCCTCAGAACCCTCCTGGGTCCTCAGGGCCCAGGAGCCTAATACAGACAACTCCCAGCTTCTCTGCGTTCAGTAGTGTTCTCCCGCTATGCAGCCCAGAATACCCCCTGCCCAAGGTCATGCCCTGGGTATCAGGAAACTCGGGCTCCCTCATTGGTGTATGTTTCTATCATTCCCCTCTCTTATCACTTCAACACCTTTCCCTAGATATCTAGCTCCCTTCCATGCCTCTGCTTAGACAGCCTTCAACGTCTCTGATGCCTCCAGCTTGGAGCCCACAGCCTTCCCACCTTCCACCAGGCCTCTTCTCACCCAGCCTACCCAAGGCTATAAATACCCCTTGAACACATCTTTCTTGCTCCTTTCTCCACCCTTCCTACTCTCCCGTTGTGCCCCAATAAGGGACATGGCCCTGCTTCTACCTGAACACCTGAGCCTTGATGAGAAACTTTATGCCTTACTGAACTGTTGATCTTAAATCCATAACCAGGAGAGCATTGATTCTCACTTTTGCTCTCATCCTACCCACACCACTACTTGACTCAGTAGCAACCCTATTCCATTCCAGTGACCTTCCCTAATAGCTAATGCAGAGCACAGAAGGAAGGTGGTAGAGGTTCTCACTGCTTCCCTAACCCAACGGACCTGTTTGCGGTGACTTACAGTGCTGTCCCTGAGCATACCCGCATCTGACTGCAGTCAGCCCTCACCTGTGCTCAGGATCCCGTGCCTTCCACTTGCTCAGGGACTTTGGTCCTGCACTTATCAATCTTCTCCTGAAATATCACCTACTCTATGTGCAGTGGACCATCCCACAACAAATGGGGTTAACCCAGACGCCTTCCCATGTCATTCTGCACCTACTGGCATGTGATTTTCCAAGTGAAACTGCTTCAACTTCCGAGACCATTTGCTCCTCAATCCTCTTCAATATGGCTTTTGTGCCTCTCACTCTGCTGCGAGTCTATGCAAGGCCACCTTTAATGTCCATATTTTCTGATCCCCAAATCACTTTTCAATGCTCATCTTAGGGAAAACAATCAGTCATCTTGGTCAAATATTACTATTTCATTCTTTATCACTATATTGGGTTTTGTACTTTTGAGGGGAAGTGTTATGTGCCAACTATTCTCATAGTGTTCTTGACAAGGTAAACATTCCACAGTATGCCCCACTGACCTGGATAGAGCATGGGAAGTATTTGGTCAACACAGAAGACAAGCCACAGAAAAGAGCATCCATTCCAGTCACAGGAGTTAAGGCCCACAGAAGCAGAGGCGGGGGAGGTAAGACAGCTCAGACAAGGAAAGTGAGTCAAGGAGTGAAGAGAAGCTCCAAGAAAATGTGGGTTTCACCCCATTTAAGCTCGTGACACTGAGGCGGACACTCTACATAATGACGTAGCAGTCTCTTTGGACAGAGGGATGGCTAGCGTTAAGGAATATCACTTTCTATAGCTGATTCTGCTACCTGCTGTGCTATAGGTGAGACCCAGGGTTCTGCTCTCCTTGAAGCGGGGGATGTAGAAAGTGGTTCACCAGCAGCAGGGTTCATGAGGAAAGCCTAAGCAGGCAAGGGGCCAATCTCCCTGCAGCTTAGACTGTGGAGTGGGCACTCCTGCCCAGGCGCGGTATGGGGGATGACACACAGGTTCAGAGCGGTCAGCACAGTGAGCTAAGACTGAGTCAGCCAGGGAGGACCAGGCCTGACCGAGAGGTGAGAATCAGAAATGCAAGTTTCGCTAGTCACACACATGGGTGATCTTCACCAGCTGGAACTAAGAGTCAAGAGTTATCCTTTCCTGTCACTATTTGCAGATGACATGATACCATATAGAGAGAGCTCAGAACACTCCACCAAAAAACTACTAGAACTGAATAATGAATTCAGTAAAGTAGCAGGGTACAGAATAAATATTCAAATATCAGTTGCATTTTTATACATCAATAATGAACTATCAGAAAAGGAAACTAAGGAAACAATCCTGTTTACAGTTACATCAAAAATGAATAAAGAAATAAATAAATAAAACACCCAGAATCAAATTTATCCAAAGAGGTAAAAGATTTGCACTGTGAAAATTAAAAGATGCTGAAGAAAGAAACTGAAGAAGATACAAATAAACTGAAGCTTAAATATACTGTGCTCATGGATAGGAAGAATAAACATCATTAAAATGTATACACTATTCAAAGCAATTTATAGAATCAACCAATTCCAATCAAAATAACAATGGCATATTTCACAGAACGAGAACAAACAATCCAAAAAGTTATATGGATCAGCAAGAGACCCTGAATAGTGACAGCAGACAGCAGTATTGAGAAAGAAGAACAAAGTTGGAGGTGTCATGCTACCTGATATCACACCATACTACATGGCCAAAGTAATCAAAACAGCATGGTACTGGCATAAAAACAGATATAGATCAATGGAACAGAATAGAGAGCTCAGAAATGAACACACACTTATATTGTCAATTAATAATTGACGAAGGAGGCTAGAAAATACAATGGGTACAGTCTATTCAATAGATGGTGTTGGGAAAATGGCACAGATACATGCAGAAAAAAATGAAACTAGACCGCCTTCCTACATCATATACCACATTAAACTCAAAACGGATTAAAGACTTCAATGGAGGACTTCAAGCCATAAAACTTCCAGAAGAAAACATAGGGAGTAAACTCTCTGACATTTCTCTTAGAAGTATTTTTTTCTGATATATATTGGGGAAAAGGAAACAAAAGAAAAAATAAACAAATTTACATCAAACTAAAAAGATTTTGCACAGCAAAGGAAACCATTAACAAAATGGAAAGATTACCAAGAGAATGGATGAAGATATTCGCCAATGAGATATCTGGTAAGGGGTTAATATCCAAAGTTTTATAAACTCAACACCAAAAGAACGAACAATCCAATTAAAAAATGGGGAGAGGACCTGAATGGACTCTTCTTTAAAGAGGACATACCGATGGTTAATAGACATATGAAAAGATGCTCAATGCAATGATCAGAGAAATGAAAACTAAAACCACAATGATAGTTCTCGTGACAAAATGGCTTCAACAGTAATCTACAAGTGTTGGCGAGAATGAGAAGAAAAAGGAACCCTCCTGACTGTTGGTGGGAAAGCAGAACGGTGCAGCCACTATGTAAAAGAGTATGGAGGTTGCTCAAAAAATTTTTAAATGGAACTGCTTATGACCCAGCGTTTCCACTTCTGTGTATATATCTCAATGAACTCAAAACACTAATTCGAAGGAATATGTGCACCCCTGTTCATTGTAGGGTCATTTACAATAGCCACGATATGGAAGAAACCCATGTGCCCATCAATAGACGAGTGGATAAATAAGCAGTGGCGCGTATATACAATGGAATATTACTCGGCCACAAAAAGAATGAAATGTTAGCCCTGGCCAGTTTGGCTCAGTGGTGAAAGCGTCGGCCCATGGACCAATGAGTCGTGGGTTTGATTCCGGTCAGGGGCACGTATCTCAGTTGCGATTCATCCTCAACCCTGATTGGGGTCGTGCGAAAGGCAGCTACTCGATGTGTCCCTTTCATGTCAGTGTTTCTCTTTCTCCCACTCCCTCCCTCCCACTCTATCTGAACAAAGATGGAAAAATGTCTTCAGGTGAGGATAAAACAAAAAAATTAAATGTTACCATTTTAGCAACAGCATGGATGGACCTAGAGGGTGTTATGCAAAGTGAAATAGGTCAGTCATAGAAAGACGAATACTGTATGATTTCACATATTTGTGGACTCTAAAGAACAAAACAAAATAAATGAACATAGAAAATAGAAACAGACTCACAGACACAGATAACACACTGAAGGTCGCCTGAAGAGAGGGAGGGGGGACTGGGTGAGAAAGGAGAAAGGACTGAGTAGTACAAAGTGGCAGTTACAACAGTCACAGGGAGGTCAGTACAGTACAGGAGACATAGTCAGTAATGTAGTAAGTATGTATGGTGCCAGGTAGAGGCTGGAAATATCAGGGGAAAAACTTTGTAAAGTATATGTTTGTGTAACTGCTATGCTGTACGCCTGAAGCTAATTCATGGTAATGAATATAAAGTGTAACTGAAAAATAAATTTAAAAAGAGTTATCCTTTTCATAGAGACCACCTAGGGCACTGTGAGCATAGCGGTGTCACAGACCCCTTCCCATGTCATCACAGACTCTAAAGCTACACATATCCCTTCCCCAATCTGGAAGGAAGTGGAGATGTGGGGAAGAAATCTGAGACTGAGCATTATCACTAAGAGTCACTGAGCATTTGTACACATCGACCACTCCTGTTTGCATCTAAGCACACTTAGCAGATCAGAAGCAAACTCAGAGTTCCTTTCCTCCCCTTCATTCCAGCTCAGAGGGCGGGCACTGCCCAGGAAGATCAGCGCCATCAGGCAGAATGAAGAAACCAAAGTGCGCTGCAGCCTGGGGAGCAGCAGTGAACCTGGGATGTCAGCACACCATCCCCACAGGTCCTCCTGTGCCCACCTTCCCATCTGTCCCTGGGAGAGGAGGCCTTGGGGTCCTGGCCTCCCCCTCTCTGTAACCCAGGACAACGTCTAGCGTGCCATCAGCAGACCCCCACAACATCACAGAAAGAGGAGAGGCGCAGCCAGACTCACGGGGTGCAGGAGCTGATGAGGGTTGTCACTGAGGTGAGCAGGGTCCCTCAAGGCTGTCCTTGTCTCCACAGGCGATGCCAGGCTCCTCCTTTAAGGACACAGGCCTTCACTTCAAACCCTGAGTCCTGGAGCTGGGCTTCAGAAAACGGTTTCCAGAGCCAGAAAAGGAAGCCTGGGGGAAGATACAGAATGTCAATATTTTTTAAAAAAGAAGGTGGTATTTTCCTTATTTCTTTTAAAGGTAAATCATGCCCGTGTCCTCACTAGAGTTGAAAAGCCGGGGTGAGAATCCCAGTTGTGGCTGACACACCAGGAGTGTCTCACAAGATCTCTTACCCAGGCCCCTGTGTCCTCAGAGAATGTATTCCTCAAGGGGGACCTGCCCTTGTCTCCCACACATCGAGGCCCTGAGCACAGGCACTGCCTTTTGTCCAGGGGGAGCAGCGATCAGACCCTCCTCGTGATGGGCAGGTCTCAGGTCTCCTCTTCTGGGCAAGTGTGGTGCCCCTGGTCCCTTGAGTGTGTTGTCCCCAGGGGAGAGCCCACAGAATAATGCAAAACCACAATTACATGTCAGAAACAGGGTCAGGTGTCACAGGCCTGCTTTACACAAACTATGTGACTTAGAAACATCTACATCCCCATTGCCTTGTATGATTCTTTTACTGAGAAAGTCGTACCCTCTGCCCCCTTCATCTTAAGGAGACTGAAGTCTTCTGAGGTCCTAAAGTTTTTGAAGAGGAAATCAGGGACTAGTCCTAAAGAAGTCACCAGGGTCCTGTTGTCTCACCCTGCTGACCTAAAGGGGTCAAATTGTAGGAAGGGCTTGGTTCTATTTCCAGTCATGTGCCACATCATCTCCTTTCCTCATCTTTTGCTGTCTCAGCTCTGATCCTACCCTCCCTGACCTCCAAAACAGGTTAAGGAGCTTCAGACAGACAGGGATTCCTGCACAAAGACCCTGAGTTCTTACAGTGCCTGGCTGTGGCCAGGTGGCAATGGCAGAAATGTCCTGTAGATGGACCCTGCTCCTTCACCCGAGAGCATATGCCCCCAACTACTTCTTGGTGGCCCGAGGTCTGTGGCTCTCCTGTAGTTCTCACAACTCACCTGGACCCTTGGCCCTGCATCCCTTTTGTTGTAATCAGAGGGGTAGATGGATACCCCACCTGTGCAGGGGCCAGAATCACAAGAGTTCTTTTTTGATTGCTCTATGTTCTGGCCTCTCTGTTCGTCATCTGAGGGACCTCAGAGCACAGCCTCATCGTCACCAGATATGAGTGATATGAGTGATCGAGCCCACTGTCTTCAACAGCGCTTAGATTTTCAGATGCTTTAAATCTATCCAAGTCCAGGACACAGAGAAGACAAACTTTTTCTAGCTTCTCATCGTTTCCTGGGCCTCTGTGGTTCTGAAACAAGACATGTCTTTGCAGAAGACACCGTATCTGAATCTTGGGACCATTCAAATGCCCACGTCTCCAGCTGCTGTCATCACCCCAATCCCAAGCCCCTTGCATCCAGTGCCCTCAGCACAGGACTGCAGTGTGGTCCTCCAGGGTAACTCATTTCCCTCTTATGCCACTTGGACAAATTGCCCAATCCTTTCTCCTTTTCTGAGTTCACTCAACCTTGTTCTACCCCGATACGACTGATTGAGGCTTTTTACTTAGAAGATGTAGTCTCCCCACCCATACCTCTGTGGGTCACAGGGGTAAGAATGGGGGCAGGAGTGAGGATGGGGTCTTTCTTCAGACCCAGTGTTGCTTAGAATCCCGGATCCTCCCTCCTCAACTTAAAGCATCATCCATGAGGCTCATCCTAAGTCTCCATGATGCTGTCATCCATTCAGTATCCTCAGGATCCCAGGGATTTCTGGTACCTGATCCTGTGGTGTTCCCTCTTGTTATGGGGGACACACTCTGAAATAACATACCATGAAAGTGCACGGCCTCTGCTTCTAATACCCTTCTGACACGTCTTCACGTGTATCCCCTTGTATGCTGATGGCTTGTTGTATCACTATGTCTACCTAACCAATCTGAGCTGGGCCCCAGAATCCCTACAGGCCGACACCAATGGGCATCTCCCTCACATGTCCCAAAAGCCCTGCAAATCTACAGGTGACCCCAAACCTATGTTCCCTGTCTGAAGGGCAGGTACCGCCAACCACCCATGTCCTTAAGCCAAAATCTTAGGAATACAACTAGGTGTCATCTCCATTGCCCCATAACTGCCCTGGACCTGCTCTGGAAAAGCTAAACCATGACCTTCGTGTTGCCACAGATGTTCGTAAAGTCCCCTGTGAGGATTCCTTCTTGCCAGGGGCACTGAAGGCGTCCTGGGCAGGGGCTTATGTCCTGGCTTGGCTGCCCCCACCCCCCACAGGAACTCTGAGGAGAACCTGTACCTTGTAATATTCCTGCCACAGTAAAATGCTCATCTTCTACAAGATGTCAACAGATAATGTCTAAAGCCAAGGAATCAGGACACAGCAGAATCAGCCCATCATGGCTAAAGGAGAACCTTTCCTAAGGGGAGTGTCCATGGGTGTGCATGAAACAAGAATTTGCTCAGTCCTGAGCTTCAAATTAAATACCCTGACCTGTCTGGTCTTTCCCTGAGCACATGAATTCACTTGAAAACATAAATTATAAAAAAAATGAAAACCTGGAAGCCAATCCTTCTACATGAACCGGTACAAAGCTCAGCCATCTGCAATTCGCACAGAACTACCGCGATCTGTCTCACGAAGTCCTCCACACAATGTTTTACACACTTTTAAAGCCACAAAACACAAGGGATCTCGACAAGAAATAAAAAGTAGTACGTCTCATTAGCAAATGCAGGGTTTTAACTGTACAATTTTGGTTTCAGGAACATGGAGACAGCAGGTACAGTGCTGGGTTTGAATCACACACTTAGTTTGACGTGTTTTCCTTCCCTGATCCTAAGTGATGTGTGCAGCACAGCAGGTAATGATGAGAACCTGCTGTCTTTGTAAAGAAGTCTCACATTTCCAATGCTAGGTGTCCTCCCGTAGGGCGGTTCTGTTTCCAGAGCTCAAGCTAGGCTTCCACAGGAGAGGTGTTCAATCGTGCTCCTGCTGCGCCCACACTGCGGACCTACTAACGCAGCCTCCGGGCATGGCGCCAGCACCTGTTCTGAGGACGCTCCAGGGGCCACGAAGGCACAGCTGCGGTACAAGGGCAGCCGTGCCTCACCTGTACCGGTTCCCAGCAGAATCCTGGACGTGACAGCCATGTTTGCTATTACTGAGAAATTTCTAAAATTCTGTGATGTGTCTTCTGAGAGCTGTTTATGGGATTCTTACTTAATATTACACTCATATTTAGAACAATTTCAAAGACTGAGGAGTGTGTTTATGCCATAACATCCCCTGCTTGCCTGACACCAGGCAGGCAGAGTGGAGGGAGAAGGGCCTGGCTGGTGGAAGGGCAGCTGGGGTTCTGTCGTCATGGTTACCGCTCTGCTGAGCATCCCCACTGGGTCCCTGAGCTGGGGCCTGGCTCTAGGAAGGGTACAACACCCCTCCCCTCTCCGTGTGTCTTCCTGTGATCAGAGGTTGAAGATAAGGGCCTAGGTTGGTTACCAGGGAAACAGAACCTGGGTCTGTGGGCCTCGTTAGGAATGGTAAACACCCAAGTGGAATTTCAGGCGCCAGATGGATCATGGGAGCCTGTGCTCAGCCGTGGAATTGTGAGTCAACCATTACATACGTCCACCCGAAGGGCGCGTGCGCACAAACACACAGACAGGCGCAGAGCTGCGCGCTCAGCAGCACTCCTGGCCTTACTGCAGTGACTCCCTGTGGGGGGAGCGTCCAGGACAGGAGCAGGAGGCAGCAATGATGGGTCACGCAGGCAGGGCCCAGAATATTGAAGAGGCAGGGGAGTCCTTGCTGTGATAAAGGCAATGGCACAACTTGCCCTTCACACTGACTAGGACATTTGCGTTGCATTTTCTAAATAGCTTTATTGAGGCATAATTTATAGTTAGAGTCTGACGCAGTGACTTTGAGTACATTGGAAGAGTTGGGCCACTGTCGCCACAGTGCAGTTTTAGAGCATTTCTATCACCACAGAGGGATCCCGTGCTCCGTTAGCAGTCAATCCCCATTACCACCTCCGGGCCCAGGCAACCTCTCATCTAATTTCTGTCTCTGTAGATTTACCTTTTCGAGGCATTTCCTATAAACTGACTCATGTGTTACATTTACTCCCACTCTCTCCCAGTACTTTCTGGCCTCCTGGTGCCTCCCGCTCAGTCTCTGGTCTAGAACTGGACACGCTGGACATGTCTGAACATCACTGGATTCTGGCTCCTAGTCTGTAACTTGGGACAGTATGCAGTGTCAGATGTGGCCCCAGAGCTCCTCCTACACCCATACTTGGGTATGAGGACAAAGCCTTTAGGTGGGGAGGGCGACAGTGGCGGACGCCTGGGTGACCCACCACCCTTTCTGCGAGTGCCCTCATGTAGAAAGTGAGCAGTGAGCACGGCCCTCAGCAAGCTCCCATGCCACATCACTCAACCCTGGCCCGTCTCACCCCTCTCTTCTCCTGGCCACCAAGCCTCTCCGGGGACCCACGACACACTCTCTACCACATCTCTGGGTGTCAGATCTCTCTCTCTGATGAAAGGCTCAATTCCCCAGGGCCGAAACCTGCTTTGAGATTCCTGCTCTTCCCCACACCAACAGCCAGCCGAGCACACAGGGGGGACAAGGGGAGACAACTGACACCCTCACAGGTGGTAACCCGTTGTGGATGATGGGACTGACCTGGTGTGGCTGCTGGAGTGAGGCCAGCACTTTCTCACTTCTGCCAGCTGCGCCCAGGCCCTGCCTGCTCTGTAGTCTGCTGTCCCGCCACCTCATAAACCGGGATGGAAATCTTGCTCAATGATGGGTCTGTGGGAAAGGATGAAAGAAGTTGACACAGGGAAGCATGTAGCATATTGTCTGACACACAGTAAAGAATCAATGAAGGTGAAATGCCACGTTAGCGCTGCTCACAACACACCCCAAACGACCAGGCTGAAGTCAAGCCTTTGTGTTTCAAGAAAGACAATCCCTGCCTGGCTGGTGTGGCTCAGTGGCTGAGCATCGACCCATGCACATAGAGGTCGCCGGTTCGATTCCCTGACAGGGCACATGCCCAGGTTGTGGGCCAAGTCCCCAGTGGCAGGCATGCAGAAAGCAGCCAATCAATGTTCTCTCTCATCGATGTTTCTATCTCTCTTTCCCTCTTCCTTCCTCTCTCTCTAAAATCAATAAAGAAAAAAAAATTTAGCCCTGGGCGGTTTGGCTCAGCGGTTAGAGCGTCGGCCTGCGGTCCGGAGAGACCCGGGTTCGGTTCCTGCTAAGGGCGCGTACCTCGGTTGCAGTTTGTCCCCGGCCCTGGTTGGTCGTGCGGGTGGCAGCCACTCGATGTGTTCCTTTCATGTCGATGTTTCTCTCTCTCTCTCTCCCTCCCACTCTATCTGTACAAAAATTGGAAAAATGTCCTCAGGTGAGGATAAAAAAAAAAAAATTTAAAGAAAGACAAGCCCTGCTTTACTGACCTCCTTCCCTGTGGCTGCGAGACGAGCCTGGCAGGGTCCATGGGGCTTCCACGCTCTCTGATGAGATCACAAGTTCAGAGTCTAGTAAATGTACCTGTTCTCAAGCCCCTCTGTCTGCAGAAGACTCCTATATGTTTGCGGCTGCACAGCTCCGGGGCAACCTAAAAACACAAGGACAGAATGCGGAATTTATTTTCACTTCAGATGAACTGCAAGGTCTCTTTCTGGGTCCACATCATCAGGTTCTGTGTGTGCGTATGGGGAGGGGTAGATTTAATCATTCATGCCTCTTGAAACGAAAAGGCATTATGACAAATCCTGACTCTTAATAACTCAATGATGTTCCAGTTCTCATGTCCCAGGCACAAGACTGATGTTTACTGTCACCTACCCGGGGATACCAGGCAACAAGGCATGGTCCCTGGAGTCCTAAGCCACGGGCACCAGCACCATTCGGCAGGACCCTCTACAGGGGGCGCAGACTCTTTTACCAATTCTCCCTGAAAAACGGATCTCTCTTCCATTGGGAGGAAAGACAGAGATCCAGGGTGTGGAAGTGACAACATGTGTCACGGGAGCCAATATAGGGGTTGAGGACCACCTGTGCACGGTCTCCCTGGCCTTAGAAGGCCCCAGAGCGGTCCATTTCCCGGCGGGGAAGGTTAGGACCTTCCTGGGATCAGATCAACACTCATGCTGATAGGACTGTCAGTCATAACTGGTTGAGTTATTCCTCCCACTATTGCTTACTGTTTGATCCCCAATAGGAATCCACACCCAGGCCCTTCAGCACCAGCATCTGTGTTGAATCCATCCAGAGCTCTGTCACGTGGGATGAGATTGTGTTTTCTTTTTCTTTTTCCATGTATCTTCAGATAGAGTGGGAGGGAGAAAGGGAAGAAGAGAGAGAGAGAAACATCAATGTATGAGAGACACATCGAGTGGCTGCCACCCACACAACCCCAGCGGGGGCTGGGCACAAACCACAAACGAGGTACCCACCCTAAGCAGGAACCGAACTCAGGACTCTCTGGTCCAAGGGCCGACACTCTAACTGCTGAGCCAAACCGGCCAGGGCTGTTTTCTTTTAGCCACTGTTTTAGGAGCCTCTGCAACATTCTTTTGCTTTCCTGCCTCCTCTCCAGTTGGAGCTTCTCCTCTCTCTGCTGCTGGGACAGCAGCCCTTCTTGCAGAAGGCCAGGCGATTGGTAGCCAGGCTGAGGGTCAAGCCACTGAGGCTGTGTATGAGGCTTTCCCGCAGGAAGGATTGGGGCCCCATTATCTGCACAGGCATCCCACAAACCCTCGGCTATGCCCCTGGCAGTATCGACATTCACACCTAAATTGATTCTGATCTTTATCACCCAAGGAAGAGATTCTGGCTTCCCTCTGAACCCGATAAGGTGCTACATGATCTACATGATGGAGGTGTCTCCGTCTCACATGTCTGAGAAATGATGTTTCCCTCTCAGGGGACACTGACCTTTCCCACTGCCTCTCTCACCAGGTTTTCTCATCGCTGTACCGCTGCTGGAGCAGTCTCTCTGCTAGAGAGGCAGGGTAGGTGGAGCCAGGACTCGGGTTCCAGACACTGAGGCCCATCATTAGCTGTTTTGAGAAGGAAGGATGAGAGGCTGCTGTGACTTCGCGAGATGTCTCTTCTCCAGAGATCATCGGGGAAGATGCAGAAATCAACGTTGAGCTGTGTTTCTGGAGTGGATCCATGGAGGCCTCAAAGCTCCAGGCAGCCCAGGGGTCTGGACACGGAGGTGAAGATGAGGTTCTCAAAGAGCCAGAAGGTGGCAAGGGACATGTGCGGAGAACCCAGACTGCAATAAGTGGTGACAAAAGAAGAAAGAAAATCCAGTATTAGCCATCTGAACTTTTCTGTCCCTCTTTTCCCAAGCTGCAAAACGGGGATAGTAAAGAGCCCTACCTCCTAGGATTGTTGTACCTGTTAAATGGGATAATACATCTCACGAGCTCCAAATACTGATGGCACACATACAGGCTTTTAGAAAAGAGATCCATTATTGCATACATGTGACAAGGAATAGAACATGACGGGCCACAGTCAACCATGTAAATGCCCTCCTGCCTTTTTACAAACTCTCCTTAAGCATAATTTCAACAATAATCAACGTGTGACTAACATGTACTCTTCTCGTTAGCATTCCCATACATTCCAAAAGTAGACTTTTACTTAGTTTCAGCATTTGCACCATGCTGACACACCCTTTTAAATTTTCTCCTTCATCCACACTGGCTGTTCATATAGTCAAAAGGTAGCTCAAGTCTATGGAACCCAAAATTCCTGAAAGTATACATACAAATTTATTTTAGTAAAAATAAGAATAGAAATCATTGGAATTTCTAACAGGAAAAAATATAGAAACACAATGAAATAAAAACTGGTTCTCTGAAAGGATTGATAACAAACCTCTAGCAGATGAGAGAGAGAGAGAGAGAGAGAGAGAGAGAGAGAGAGAGAAAGAGAGAGAGAGAGAGAGAGAAGGAGGGAGGTTACCAACAGCAGGAATGAAAGGGGTGACTTTCCCATAGACGCAGCAAATACAAAAGGGCAATATTATAACACTACATTAAACTCTACATACATAAATGCAACAACTTAGAAGAAGTGAATCAATTACTCAAAAACCATAAATTACAAAAACTCACCCAAGTGAAATAATGTGCACAGTCCAACATCTTTTATAAAAATCGAATTGGTAGTTAAAAACCTTTGGGAAAATATCCGAGAGAGTAAACACCAGAACAAACACTGCATGAGTTTTAAATTGCACGTTATTCTGAATAGTGTGATGCAATCTCTCACCATCCAACTCCGTGTCATCCCCACTCCAAGGTGAAACTTCGCTTTGCCCAGAGTGTCCCCACTGCATTTACTGCCACCTGTCTGTTAGTAACTTAGTAACTGCCTCAGTTATCAGATCGACTGCTGAGGTATTGCAGTACTCGTGTTCCAGTAACCGTTAATTTTACTTAATGGCCCAAAAGCACAAAATGTGATTCTGGCAATCTGGATATGTCGAAGAGAAGCCATGAAGTATTTGTTTATATTGGAAAAAAACACAGTATACATAGGGTTCGGTGGCATCCGTAGTTTTGGGCATCCAGTGGGGGTCTCGAAATGTATCCCTCATGGATAAGGGGGACCTCTGTATCGAAAAGAATATAGTGAGAAAATCACTTAAGAAATTAAAATGCTGCATTAGAGCCCTGGCTCATGTGGCTCAGTGGTTAAAGCTTCATCGGCCTGCACACGGAAGGGTCGCGGGTTCGATTACCGGTCAAGGGCACATACCTGGGCTGCATGTTTGATTCCTGGCCCTGGTCAGGGCCCATGCTGGAGGCAACCAATCAGTGCATCTCTCTCACATCTCTCTCTCATTAGAATACCTCCATTGAATGCAAAAGAAAACAGTAGAGGAACCAAACAACAGAAAGACATGAAACACAGAAATAAAAGTGCAATGACAGATGTAAGTCCATCTATGTTTATAAAAACATTAAATGTGAACAGATTAAACAATCCAATCAAAAGGCAGACACTGATAGACTGGATTGAAAAAACAAGATGCAATTTGTTTTATGTCCTCTATAGGAGACACAGTTGACATTCAGAGATACAAACAGATTGACAGTGAAAGTAGGGGAAGAGATGAATCATCAAACCAGCAACCACAAGAACTGGAGTGGGTATCCTAATATCAGGCAATTACTTTTAATATTAAACATACATTTATCATATGATGTGGCAATTCTACTCCTAGAGAATTCTTACCGACGTAAACGAAACATAATGTCCACACAAAGACCTGCACTCAAACACTCATAGCACTTTTACTCATAATGGCTGAACCTAGAAACAACCCAGATATTTTCAACAACTGTATATGGATGAAAGAAAACCACGCCCACACAAAGGATTATGACACAGTAATAAAAAGGAACTACTGGTATATGCACAGCATGGATGCGTGTCAAGTGTGCTAACTTAAAGAAGGCAAACACATAAGGCTGCAGGTTCCGTGACTTCATGTCACTGGTATTCTGGAGAAGGCACAGCTGTAGGCACAGGCCAGCACCAGTGGTTGCCAGGGTGTGGGAGTAAGGGAAGAAGTGTGACGGCAAATCCGCAAGGCAGTGTTTTCAAATGACAGACATTTTCTGTACTTTTGTGTGGTGGTGGTTAACAACTGTATACAGTAGTCAAAACTCTATGAACTGGCTCTGGATGGATTGGTACAGCAGTTAGAGCATCCCCTGTGGATGATCGGTCTAGGGTTTGATTTCCGGTCTTGGGCAAGTCCTTTGCTGCAGGTTCAACCCCTCACCCTGATGTGGGAGGTAACCAATTGATGTGTCTTTGTCACATCAATGATTCTCTCTCTCCCTCCCTCTCTCCCTTCCATTCTCTCTAAAAATCAAAGGAAAAATATCCTCTGGTGAGGATTAACAAGAACAACAAAAACTCTACAAACTGTATACTTTAAATGTAATTTATATCTCAATACTTCTCACTTTTTTACAAAAGGAAAAGGAACTATTAAGGAAAGTACTGAAATACTGGTTATTGTATGAGTGCACAGAAATAAGTCTCATTTTGGAATCCTTCACAGATCTGGCCCTCTTCCGGTATTCCCCATGTCAGTGGATGGCATCACCGCACTCGGAAACGCGGTCTTATCCACTTACATCTCCCTCTCCTTCACCTGAAGTCAAATCCTTGCTGGGTTTTGTCCATTTCACTTCGCAAATATCTGTCTAATGCTGACACTTCTCCCCATGTCCCCTACATCTGCTTTCATCAAAAGACTGTCGTTTTGATAATCAAACCTGCTTTCTCACTGGTCTCTCACATCCACTCAGGGTGTCTGACTCCCTCTCTCTTTCCCTCCTTTCTGCCCCTCTCGCTTCCTCTCCCAGTTGCAGGAAGGCCTGGTCCAGCCCCTGCCTACTCTCCAGCAATATGGAAAGCAGAGCTTCCTCGTCTTGTGTCTCTTATTGGCTTCTTTCACGTCCTCCAGTTTCCCAAACTTCTCCACTTACACTGTCCCCTTCCGGAAGACTCCTGATTAGTGAACTCCTGTGCATCCTTCATATTTCTACTCTCCCGATGCCTCTTCAAGGAGAACTTCCCTAAAGATCTAGCAAAAGTCATTTCCTCCCAAGCCTCTGTGTGCCTCTTTGGTACCAGCAATCATAGGAGTAATTTTTATATTTCTTTGTGTGATGAGTCAATTCACTGTTGTCTCCTGATTGGACATAAACTCCGTGAGGGCAGGAATGTGTCCTTTTTAAATTTTTTATTGTAACCCCCGGCACCAAGCGCAGTGCCTAGATCATAGATGGAGCTTGGGGAATCGTATTTAAATAAATAAGGACTCTGTTTCTTAAGCGCACACACATGGTTACCAGCACAGTGATCCAGAACACTCAGCAGTGTCCGAGCCGTCGCCTGAGCTGAACTAGGAGGTTGGAGTACGGGTAATGTTGCTAGCAGCCTCTGCGTCCGTCCATGATAAAGGCAAAGGCCTTCATGCCTCCCCACACTCAGTGCCCCTTGCTAATGCTGATGGCGGGTCCCCAGAACGCTCATCGCTAAGGGCGGGCCGGCTCTCAGGCCCTCGCAGACCTCAGACCAGGACGCCCTCTCACCACAATAATGGACCACTCTCTCCTCCTAAGACCAGAAAACTGACATTTAGCTGTTTATTCCCTCTTTATGCATCTTGTCACCTTCACATTCACTTCCTCCTTTCTTCTTTGGGTCACCCAATCCAACTCTGCCAATTCCCGGCTGATGACTACCACACCTGCATCTCCCTTCCTGTGTAAGGATTTATCAGGGGAGGCTGGCATCTAACCACTGCACTATGCAGTTTCGTCTTTTCCCATTTCTGAACCTGCAGGCTTCCAGAATTCAAAAGTGCTGCCGATCACCCACAAAAGGAGCGGGGCTGCAGGTGAGGATGCGACCCTCATTCTCATTCTCATCGAAGCTCAAAGCACTGCTGCCTTAAAACCACACGCTGCCCCACCGCGCCACACCAGCCAAAGAGAGGGAGCGCCAGAGACGTCCTAATGCAGAGACTCCTCTCCATAGAGCAGCAGCCTCTACCAGAGACCGGCAAGGTGTTGTCTGGTTTGGGCCTGTGCCACCTGTGGCTTTTTCACAACACCCGCAGACTTAGCTAACCTTCAATCTGGAGCCCCAGCTCCCCCCTGCAGGTCCTCTCTGCTGCACCGCAGACCTCTCTTCCGCTCTGGGTGCTCTGATGGGTTTTCCACCTCACAAGGATATCAAAGCAATTTCTTATCCCGAAGTGTCCCGATGCCAAGACAATGGATCTTCAAAAACACTATTTCAAAAGCATAATAGAAACACTGCCTGTGTAAGGAATTGATGCAGCAAATAGATATGTTAGTTGAAAATTATCTAGAGGTTCGCACTTAGAGAAAAGGACTTAGTGTGTAGTTATTCCCTTCCAGACTTTTTTCTACGCATTTTGACAATTGTTACATTGGAGGGGAACAGTGATGTGTTACAATCTTGTATCTGTTGCTTTGTTGGCTTAATTAATACCACAAGCTACTTTCCACGATGATAATGATGATGAGATCGTTGGTACTGACCTCGATAGCAGCAAATACGTGTAGAGACCTTGCTAGGGAGCAGAAACTGGTCTGTGTGATGTGTGTGCTGCCTCGTCACCCCCAGTACTTTGTGCACAGAGGAGACATCGCGTTCAGTCCGTGCACACCAATGTGTCCCGATGCTGCTGCACAGCTCCACGTGCCTCTTGCTGCAAAGGGCGTCTGACACTGAGGTGCATGCATTCCAGAGCTTAAGGCAGACCCCACATCTCTTTAGGTCTCTATCTGACCTCACTACAAATCTGACTCTGCCCTTGCTGGCTGGCTGCCTTTGGGTAAGCTGCTTCAGCTCTTAAACTCTCTCTCAGCTTCCTCACGTGTAAAAAGGGAGAACATGGATATGCTCACCCTGCTTTGCTGTGAGTACTCAGACTTCTAAAATTATGTATGTAGAGAGAAACTAAAAACAGCGCTGGACCTGTAGCAAGCCTCCAAGTGTGAGCTTTCCTTCTTCGGTCTCTTCACTCCTGCTTTCTGCTTGTGCCCGTTATCCCTCCTTCCTCTTAGCCTTTAACTCCTCTTTCCCTGCCCCCAATGTTCACCCACCCCATTGGCACCCCCTGTCTTCCCTTTGCTTCTTTCTCAGACTCTCCACTGTTTACCTGCTCCTCAGGATTCAGCTCTGATAATATCAATACATCAGCCTTTTTGTTTTTTTGTTAATTCACAGTGGAAGATTTTTTCCATCGATTTTTACAGAGAGTGGAAGAGAACGGGAAGGTGGAGGGAGGGAGGGAGGGAGAGAGGGGGAGAGAGAGAGAGAGAAACATCAATGTGAGAGAGACACATTGGTTGGTTGCCTCTCGCACACATCCCAACCAGGCTGGGGCTCAAACCTGCAACCCAGGTACATGTCCTTAACTGGAATCAAACCCTCGACCCTCTGGTGTGTGGGCTGATGCTCTAACCACTGAGTGTCATCGGCCAGGGCTTAATACAGCAGCCTTTTGTTAGATAAATAATTAACATGAATGATAGAAAAAAATCAATACCATTACACAGACGATGGGAAA